GCGAAGGCGGCGACCCAGACATCTGGGACTGTTGTTGTTCTCTCGCCTCACGCCCGCCTCAGTCAGCTCGAGCTTGAGATCCGGAGCTGCTCGACTGGGAGGCTGAGCGGCAGTCTCCGCCCTCTCTCCCGGTTCGCTGAAGCTGCGGCAGGAGCCGGTGCTGACTGAACGCCTCCCGGTGGGTCTCCGATGCCCTTCGGCAAGGAGGGGGCGTCTGGACCCTGGTGAGCGTGCCCAGAGCTCCCCCGACTCGGTGTCTTCACCCGCCCCTCGGGCCGGCACACCCGCGTGTCTGCCATGGCTGAGAACGCAGATGGTGACCTGAACTCGAACCTGCTCCACGCCCCCTACCTCACCGGGGACCCCCAGCTAGACACGGCCATCGAGCAGTGGCTGCGCTGGGACAAGGTGGGTACCTGGACACCCGGGCATCCGTCCCCCTCTTCCTGCCCACCCTCTCACAATCCGCCCTTTCCGGTACCCACCCAGGGCTTTGCAGGCGCCCGGGGAGATGGCACCGGCCACCGCAGGGCTAGCGGAGTTGGGCGATGCCTCTCACCTATGCAGGGGCTGCCTGCACCCTCAGGAGGGGCGGGCTGGGCTGGGCAGCGACATCTGCAGCAGCTTTCTTTTGCAATAGGCTACACTCCAACCCACTCCCGTCACCCTCTTCCTTCTGGTGTGTATCATCTCTCATTCTCAAAATACTTCATCCGCATGATCCTCATCATTCTAAGTTGTACTCCGCATATTCCGCATCCATTTCCTTTCCCCTTTCTCCCTTGACTTCCTTCTTTGCAGAACCCGAAAGTGGCTTCTGGTACGTTTCGTGGACGTTATTACTAACCACTGTCTGCTGTGGTGTTGGTCTGCTGGTGTGTTTCCACCCTCTGTCGCTAGGTAATCGCTGGCCTGTTTCACGCTTATTTTCTGGTATCACCTTTTGCTCTTGGAAATGACAAGGGCTCTCCTCTTATTTCAGTCCTCTGCTGGCCGTTATTTTCTGAAGTATTCTGTTCAAAGAATCGTGGTCATGTACATTTTGAATAGCCTATTTTCCTCTAGAGCCTACATACACCATTGCTTCTCAAACCATAACGTTCCAGCAGATCATCTGGGAATCTTAAAAGGCAGATCCTGACCAGTATTTAGAAATTCAGAATTGGTGTTGCCCTGCCATCTTTCCTGTTCTCTCCCACTCCTTCTGCAGGCATATTGGGTGGATGGGTGAAAACCAGAATTAAAATGTAGCCTTTTCACCTGTAAAAGAAGCCCCTGGAGGCTCTCAGAGGACAAGATGGTAATCAGGTGTTTGCTTTGTCAAGTACATATATAACAGCTGCTGACACAGAGAAAGCAGTCCATTTTAAACTGGGTAACTGAATTTAGGGGTTTGTATGGCAGTATGTGAGATTGTGTTATACAAAAGAACTACCTAAATTAGCTTTCTGAAACAATTTATTTTCTTTCTTTCTTTTTTTTTTCTTCTTTTTCTGCATTCAAGAAGGAGAAAACAAACAAATACTGAGTGTTCTAGGCCGGTCAGGAAACACTGGTGGTGAGAAAGATAGAAGGAATTCTTGCCCTCAGTAAGCCTTCAGTTAGTAGATAAGGAAGCCCAACAAATAAGCAATGACAGTGAAGTATTTGGGGGTTACTGGAGATATATATATATATATATATATATATATATTTCAGACTCTAGAAGAATGATTAGAAGATATATATATATATATATATCTTAAATGTTCTAATCATTCTTCTAGAGTCTGAACAACAGTTTCTCAAACCTGAAAGTGCTAACAGATCATCTGGGAATCCTAAAAGGCAGTTTCTGACCAGATGGCTAGGGTGGGGCCTGACAGCCAGCCTTAGAGAGCTTCCAGGGGATTGATACCGGTATTGCTGATCTGTGGACCACACTAAAAATACTCTTTTCTCTTTCAGTATCAGCTTTGACTACGTTTTTCCTAATGAATGTCCCTGTTGAATGAAATAAATTAATACTTATTGTCTGTGCTATGCCCAGATACTGCTGAGATATAGAAATATTTAAGAACTGAAAAATGCATATAACAATAATACAACAGTTACAGTAGCAATAAGAGGTTACGGCATTCAGTTCTTATGGGAGTTCAAAAGTGAGAGTGATCTGTGGAGTGGGATGGTCAAAGAAACCTTTTCTTTAAAATTTTTTTATTTTTATTTTTTTTTTTTTGATATTTCATGGCAAAGTTTCTCTGTGTAGTCCTGGCTGTCCTGGAACTCACTCTGTAGACCAGGCTGACCTTGAACTTACAGAGATCCTCCTGCCTCAGCTTCTTGAGTGCTGGAATCAAAGCCGTGTGCCACCACCTCCTGGCTTCAAAGAAGACTTTATGAGAACATGGAATGCACATAAAAAGAACAGGAAAAGCCTGAAGGAGAAAGATGAAATAAATATAGACCTCAATGAACATAAAAGAGGAGAGAAAACAAAGGCTCCCAAATAAAATATAAAGAACAAGTAATAAGTGCCTTAACAGAAGACCACATTTAAATGATGTTATTGATTGTGTATTATTGATCTCTTTTTTAATGGAGAATAATGCTTTTATCTGAGAAACAAAGGTTTATCTTCTATAGATATATCAATCTGTAAGTAAGCTAGGCTAAGTCCGAGGCCACTGAAATTTAGAGTACAAAATGAAATTTAAGTGTTTCATTGCACATTGACAGTACATACAGTCTTTTAATGCAGAGAGTCTGAGTTCAACTCCTGATTAATACCAATTAAGGAACCCTGATAATGCTGCTGATTCTTGAAGACTGATGAGGCATGAAATAAGTTACAAATTGGTCTTAGGGTAATTTGCTATTTGCCATAGTCATTAACATTATTAATTTTAGCCTTGGTGGCTTAGGATATATTGAAAAGTCTCCATTAAAAAAATATTCATGTTGAACTTTCTCAATTAGTTAACATTCAGATTTGCCAAGATAGAAGACTAAGAATTGGAAAGATGGAAGCTTGAATGTATGTAGTTAATAGTTTGTGTCTGCCAGAGCTTAGGGTACATAGAGAGAAATCTTTGGAAAGGTATGTGAAGACCAGATTGTAGAAGAGCTTTAGTATATCTTTAGTGGCCTTCAGCAAGTAAGAGTGTCTGTAAGTGCCAAAAAGAAAATAGTACAAGAAGACAGGCCCCGCATGGTGACTCTTAGCTATGCTCTCAGCACTTGGGAGGCTGACACAGGAGGAGCAGTTAGAGTTTGAGGCCAGCCTGGGCTGCATAGTGAGTTTAGGTCAGCCTAAAGAGAGTGAGATGCTTGGTTTTCTTTTTTGTTTGTTTGTTTTTGTTTTGTTTTGAGACAGGGTTTCTCTGTGTAGTCCTGGCTGTCCTGAACTCACTTTGTAGACCAGGCTGGCCTTGAACTCACATAGATCTACCTGTCCCAGCCTCCCAAGTGCTGGGATTAAAGACGTGCACCACCACCGCCGGCTCTTGGTTTGTTTTTAACCAGATTTACTGGGGCTAGGGTACTCTTGTGTAGCTGCAGTGGGGACTTGGCTCTGACTTCCTACTTGTATCCAGGCTTTTGTTTAGTATGTTAGCTTCCTTAGCCACTCAGCTCAAGGTCATAAAAACTGATGGCTGATTTAAGAACACAGTTTTATTAACTTATGGTTTATGGTATAGATGAAGAGTCAAGTAGATTTGTTTCTAATCCAGGCATTTGGTAGATACACCGTAGGGAAGCCAAATAATCCAAAGATTTTTGGTGATCATGAAGCCAAATCACAGGGAGTCAAATATATAAGATTAACCACATCAGCTTGTGACATGTAAGTGCATACATCCCTGAATGGGGCTGTGCTACTACTATAACCCACTAGGTCCATGGATCAAGGAGTTCTCCTATCAGCTGTGCACAGATAACTCTACCACCACCATGCTCTCCTCTGCTCTAGGTAAGGCTCCTTCCTGTTTCTTTCATTCAGTGCTTTCATGCACTGTCAAATTATAGACAAGCAGCCCTGGCCTAAAAATCAAGGTTCTTTAACCTCACAACTGTCCGTTGATTCTGTTCCAATGTGAATTTTAACTCTGTAAGCAATCATATATCTAAGATATTAAGCAGTGGTAAAGCATGGATGAGTAGATAGGGTATATATACATATATATATATTTTTTTAAAGAACTGGGACACAAGGCAGAGGTGCTCTGCTGATTGTAACAGCAACACAAAGGTCTTATATATTGACAGCAATGTGGAGGCAGGAATTAGCAATGGCAATTTAAGAAATAGTGAGTAGAGCATTCTGGTCTCCGAATGTAGATCTGTATTAAGAAAGAGTAGAATATGAAGCTGAAGATAGGTTATATCTATGTCTATAAAGAGACTGGAAAAGGAAATAAAAAAGGACATCAGTCAAAGCCAGCAATTTTCAGATGTTTAACTATAGAATATTTTTCAACACAAATTGACCAGAACAAAAAGACTGTGAATTAATTTTCTATGCTTCCTTTATTTAGTCTTACATTGCTATAGTAAGTACCTGAGCCTGGGTCATGTTTAAAGAAGGGGGGTTTGCTTAGCTCAGTTTGTATGAGATCAGCAGCCACATTTGTTTGGCTTCTAGTTAGAGCCTCATGGCTGATGGAATCCTGACAGAAGCATATGTAAAAAAGATTACATAGTGAGGCAGGAAGCCAGAGAGCAGGGAGGGGTAAGCCTTGCTTTTTACATGTTCTTCTCTCCCCTTAACCTCTTCTCCTCTCTCCTGTAAACTACAGCTTATTCTTGTTAGAACTCATACACAGAACCCCTAGGGAAATGCCTCTGGTGGTGACCCAGTTACCTCCCCCTCGGACCCAACCCTTGAAAGGTTCTGCTACCTCAGTACCTCCACACTGAGGGCCAAGCCTTTGATATGGGAAGCCTTGAGGTACAGGCCACATTTAGACTATAGCACGTTCCAATGTTTGATAGTTATATTACTAGTTCTTTATTCTTTTGAAAAATTAAATAATTTAATCTGTGTAAATAAGATCCACAGAACAATAACTTGCAGACATAGAAATCCCAGCTGACCATTCTAGTTAAGAAGATGTTGGCAGAAAACATACTGTGTATACAAAACAGAGAAAATCATACCAATGTCCCAGGAATAATCGGTGGCGATTAATAACTAAGTATCATCTATATGAAGAAAACAGTTTGTATGAACAAAAAGATAAAGCAGTAGGTACATATATAAAAAGAGATACAATGGAGAACATAAAAACCTCAAAATTATAAATTAAAAATAGAGAACTATTTCATCATCAAATAAGAAAAGATAGTGTGAAAAATCAACCAGAAACAAGAATGAGCTCTAGGAAATGAAAGGAAAAAAGTTAAAGGAAAAAGTGATCCCCCCTTTA